CCACCATCCCTGGCTACTTTTAGATTGGAAGCAGGGTGACAGTTGACTTATGATACTGGATTACAGACTTTGCAATCTGCCTTGAAAAAATGCAGACAAGAGTGGTACTTCTTTGCTTTTCAGATCATCTTAGAAAAATCAGTTTTAAGCTAGAGTAGGATTTCCATGCTGTGTTCCTGACTAAGACTCTTTCTTAGCTTCCTAGACCTCAATAATCCAACTTAAAGATTAAAGAGACTGAGAAAATTTACTGTCAACAAACCTTCCCTCCCCCCACCCTCATGTGCGTTAACTGATGAAATCTTAACATTTTGTGGTGGTAATCTTAACATTTTGTGGTGGTACTAACAAATGTCTTGCTATTTCTGATTTTTATGGTAGTTGACTAAAGATATCTTAATTTGGTTTTAAGGAAATCTGGAAGAAAACCTGCTAAGCAGCATTCTTACTAATTATAAAATACACATCTTGGTGAGATGTGGTATCACAGGCCTTTAATCCCAGCACTCAGAAGGCGGAGACAGGGGATCTCCATGAGTGAGGGCAGCTTGGTCTATATAGCAAGCTCCAGGGCAACCGAGATTACATGAGACTCTATCTCAAAAGCTAAACAACAAACCAACAAAAGAAAGCATCTTCCTCCAGTTGTCCCTACCAGGAAGGAAGCACCAGAGGTCTGGGAAGACTGAGCAAACGCTCACACACCGCTCACACTACCCTTGTTCTCCCGAGGCAATTCTCCCTTTGTTAGCAAAGCACAGAGAAGCTTGAAAATCTTTATAGATGAGAAAGAATCTTAAGGCCGTATTCCTCCATTTAGCTTGGAATGGTGCACAACAGAAAAAGTGCTTAGCTTTCAACTGAGTGTCTCTTTATACAGGGAGATGAGAAGAAAATACACTCTATGTAATTGCTTATGCACAGAATACTTGAGAGTAATAAAAGCAACTACAGTTCCTCTCATGTGTGTTAGCTTGTTACTAATAACATTTTCTGACTGAATCATTTTATTTAAAGACTGCAAAGATTTTGGTAATCTTTTTTTCTTAAAGTCAGGTCAAATGATATAAAGATACAAAAAAAAATCAGCCTGCACAATCTATTTCTAGTCAATGCTGTCATCAATCCAGAAAAAACTAAATAGGGGAATAATAGTTTATAGAAGTTCGCTTCCAATTTCAGCAACTCCCATTACTAACATCTGAAATGCTTGGCAGACTCACATTGGCAATAATTTCAGGCTGGGCAGCTGTGATAAAATCATGACTGAACAGTTGCCAAATCCACCTTCACTTACCTAGCCTCGTCACTGCCTCCCCAATAACACCTCAAATAAGAACCTAGATGAGTCAAATACACATTTCAAATATAGGAGCTAAAAGTCAAAGTAGCTGGGCTTAGGAGTACCAGCTGCAGGTACTGGCTGTTATGCCTCCCCAAAAAGTAAACAGCATGTTTGCCATCAGCAGGTTATGCAAGAGTTGACCACTATGGGCAGGTATGGGTGGGGCGTTTTGGAAACCCTTGGAGCAATAGTCAGACCCGGCACTGAACTACAATGGCTTATAAACACCCAGTGACCACCCCTTCTGCCTAGAAATTCATTTTACAGTTTCTTGCCTAAGTTATAGAAAATTAATCTTACCCTTGGCAAATTACATATAAGCCATCTCTTCCTCTCAAGTTCACGTACATCTTTTATAAAGCCCAGTCCAGTCCAGCCCCTTGTTGGGAATGTTATCTGATAGACAAGGTTGGGTAGCTTTTGTAAAATGAATTTGAAAAGTGCTATGTTAATTACATTTTAAACAAATCCCTTTAATCAAGTTTACAATTGGTGGGTATATATGCCTTTAATCCTAGTACTCAGAGGGTAGAGGCAGGTAGATCTGAGTTTGAGGCCAGCACAGAGAAATCCTGCTCGAAAAACAACAGAACAAATGAACAAAAACTTACGTGAGTTTGTTTGAGGCAGGATCTTAGGGAAGCCAGGCTGGTTCTGAAATTCTGCCTTGGCTTCCCAAGTAGTAGCATCACAGCCAGGTAACACCATGAATGCATGGTCTCATGGACCCTCTTTGCTTGCTTCCTCTTCTGGTTCTAGGTATTGAACTCAGGGCTTTCCACAGGAGTCCTACCATTACGCACTATGGTAATATATAATTTCCCAAGCAGGTAGAGGAGAAAGTACTTAGCATGTGCAGAGCTTATTTGGGACATTTTGTGGGATGACAATCGGATGGGACACATTGAGAATGGATGGTTTTGGTACATGTTGTTTGGAATGTTTTACACGTATGGGTATTTTGTCTGCAAACCACATGTGCCTGCTAGGAGAGTTAAAAGCTCCAGGAACTGGAACTATAGATGGTTGTGAGCCATCACATGGGTGCTGGGACTTGAACCTGGCTCTTCTGCAAAAACAGTAAGTGCTTGCCCGTAAGCTCCGAGCCACTTCTCCATCCCACATGTTGGTTTTTGTAAACCAGCTTGGTACCTGACTTTACAATACTGATTCTATGAAAACAAAACAAATCAAAACAAACATGGTCCTGAGTGATTTTTAAGAGTATGGTTTTAAAATATGTGGAATACAACTGAATAATAAGCACACATGCTTCCAATTTTTCTAAATATTCCTATACACACTTATTAAAGCAATTTTCCATTCTTCAGATTTAAAAGAAATGTCAGAGATTGCTCAGTGGGTGAAATACTTGCCATGTAACGACAAGCACTGGAGTTTAGCTATAGAACACATATTAAAAAAAAAAAAAAACCAACAACAAAACAGCCCTGACTCACTGGCTGGGAAAGCCTACTATGAGATCCAGGTCAGTAACGGGGATGGCTCCTGAGCAGGGCACAGCCGACATCCAGGTCAGTAACGCGGATGGCTCCTGAGCAGCGGCACAGCCAACATCTGGTCTCTACGTGTACAGATGCCCACGTGAGTGAGCATCTGGGCCCTCAAGAACACGCATTCACCCACCCAAACAAAAACAGAAACTCAAAACTACTTAAGCAACATTTCTCCAAAAGGGGACAGTGTGCATTCATGATCTATGGTTACTTGTAAGGTACAAGTGCTAAAAATGCACTGTCTTTATCTAAAAATGCATGGATCAAAGATTACAAATTTTTGGTTAGCTCTGTAGCTGAAACCTCCCATTTTGCAGGCACGAAGTGTCCGAAACTGAAGAGCTTTAATGAGAACATTTTCCTTACTTGCAAAGGGTAGAATGCCTGCTTTCTGTGGTTTTGAGGATTAGAAGTAAAAGGCCTAATACAATGCTGGAGAAGAGTAAACAGGATCTCAATAAATGATAGTTATCATTTCACCTTTTTTTTCTTCATGAGATATGTATCACTGGGTTGCCCAGGTTAGTCTTGATCCTCCAGGGCAACCTTCTAAGTAGTTAAAATTACAAATACTACCATACTCAGCTTCTAGTATCAGTTACAACACTGCCCAAGATCTATCTACTCTGGTGTCTACAACACTAGGTTTATGGAATATGTTGATAGCTAATTAAAAAGAAAAAAAATTTAGCCAGGCAGTGGTGGCACGTCTTTAATTTCAGTACTTTTGATCTCTGAGTTGGGGGGTTGGGGGAGAGAGGAGAAATTTTATACACAGGCCAATTTCAGATTATATACATGATACTATGCTTGGTGCATGCCAACAAAGGGGAAATATTTAAAAATGGAAGTTTAGAGGGGAGATAATATTTTGCTATACTCTTCAACTTAAAAGTTACTCTTACATTAACAATCCATTTACACTAAGGTGGCTCATGTTTTAAACTACTATCCCTACTGATTTTGTGATGGGCCAATGATTAAACTGACATGATACGATAGTGTTAAGCAGGGATGTAATTTAAAAGTTGATAGTAAAAGTCCATCGACTGTGGCTGGAACTGACCAGTAATAGATAACTTTCTCCAAAGGGAAGGAAAATAATAAAGTTTTAAAAAATCTCACAAAAGTGCACACCCACTAAGTACACATGTCACATACACACAACCAGCAGACTTCATACCACGGCGTGCCTGTAGAGTTGGTTCCCTCCTCACACCATGTTTCTGGGGATCAAACTTGGGTTATTTGGCAAACCTTTTGATCCACTAGAGCCATTTTACAGGCTTAGCACCCACTTCCGTAGTTATGGGGAACCAAACCCAGGACTTTAAAAATTCATCCTCTCAATAGCCCAGCACAAGGTCAATTAGAACTAATAATCTGCTGAAGGTATTTTATGCTATGTCTTCACACTCTCAGCCCTACTTTCTGAGACAAGATCTCTCACTGACTCAGCAAGGGTGGCTGGCCACCAAGTTCCAGGGAACCCAGTGGTCTCTGCCTCTCTAGCTCTCCAATTACAGACATGTATGACCACATTCGGCTTTTGGAGTCCTGGGAATCCAAACTCAGGCCCTCATGTTTGCATAGCAAGCACCCGACTGAGCGGGCCATCTCCCCAATGCCCTGGAGGAAATATTTGTTATTTAGCTGTATTTGACTACCTAAAATCCTACAGACACGCTATTAGGCCTCAACCATTCCTCTGAATTATCTACTTTGTAAAATCAAAAATCTTACTTGGGATTTTTAAGTTTTAGGAAAGAACTTACAGAAAACACAAAGAATCAGATGTTTAAGTCTTACTCCCCTCCACTCCCCACTGTACAATAGGCCACGTCTACAAATATAAAGAGTAGGTGGAACTTCCAAGGATACAAAGAGGAAAGGGCTGGATGAATGGCTCAGCAAGTAAGAGCTCTGGCTGCTCTTCCAGAGGACCCGGGTTCAACTCCTATTACCCACAGGGGAGATCACAACTACCTATAACTTTAGCTCCAGGGGATCTGACTTCACCTTCACCTTCCTTTGGCTTCCACAGGTACTGCATACAAGCAGTGCACAGACACACACTGAAGACAAAACCCCATGCACACACAATAAAAACAGTTTGAAAAGAACACAAAACGAGAAAATTAAGAGCACAGATCTGGTACATGAACATATTCACATACATATATACAGTTAATTTCCACATCCCTCAAACAGGCTTAATTTACAAAGATGAGGTATACATTGCTTCGTGTGTACATCAGTGGTTCAGTGGCTAAAATGTTTGGTTAGAATACTGCACTAACATTTCAGAGCTACTCTGGTAAAATCGCATAAAAAAAAAAGACATTCAAAATAAGCACATTCTTCTAACAGTAAAGACTCTTCCCACTTTTTTTTTATTTTGACATCATGATAGTTCCATAAATTTAAAGTGGAAGATAGCTGTTCAATAAAAGCCATTTCATATATATAATATACAGAAGTTATTTTAAAAGTCTGTGTCATATAACAGATTCATTTGGTGCTACCAAAAACTTATGATACAAATAAATGACTACAAAGAAAACCATCACTAAAACTAAGACACACAGGAACTACACTTCATTTCAGGGGGGAAAACGCAAATGATCTCTATCATGTTAGAGGAATCACGTTCATTGTCATAGTGTGCATTATCATATTCCCTTAAAGCAGACTCCGCAGAATCTTTAAATTTAAAAATGTTCAGATATAATTCTGTCTGTACATTCAAGAACAATCATATTCTGATTACATACAATGCTTTCATCGTGCAAAAAAGCCTTAGTTCATTGTTTGCTAAGGTCTAATGTCAAATGAACCAATATCAGCCATTTACTGACCAAGCTGTCAATCAGAGAAGTACAGAGATCAAGCTGCCGAGCTGTCCTTCCTGCCACAGTATGGCTACTACTAGACCCGCTTCCTTCCTGTGTTAGAACTAGCAGGTGCCAAAGTGAGCACTCACTACTGCAGCGGACGACAGAATATGAAGAAGAGTTCCTCTCGTCCAATAGCCTTTGCCATCCTGTAATACAATCTCTCCAACTGCATGTGTTCAGGCAGAGGAAGTAGGAAATCAAAGCAGGTTAACACAGGAATATAAATAATGGGAAACTAAGACAGCACGTGGTGTTAAAAACCTCGTCTGAAGTCTGCACAGCGTACTAAAACAAGCAGAGCAGATGTCAGTGCAACTTTAACCTGGACATTTATCTGAGTGTGGGTGGGAATGGGGGAAACCAGTTTGAATGAAAAGATTTATTCCTTTTGAGCACAAAGAAAATCAACAGGAATTTTAAAGGTCATTGATCAGAAAATGAACAATAACCCTTAGAAACCTCAATTAGCCAAAACAAGCTAAAGATAAATATTAAAAAGAAAACCTTTCAGCCTAAATATTTATCCATCTATATCTCCCACTTTATGAATAGGCTTTTGACTAAAAGAAGAAAAAACATCAAACTACCCCTAAATATTTTATAAGAGGTACCATCATCTAGAAGTGACAAAAATAAATTAGTTTCCCCCATGATATTATTTAATCTCTAAAGCATAAAAAGCTATATAATATCTTATACAAAGTAACCAGTGTTCTTACAAAAGTAAAGCAGTTTTGGACTACTAACATTACACTGTATTTGTGGTGAAGTATGAGGCACAAGAATATATGCATTAATTAGGCATGTTTCCATCTACTCCGTCTCTATGGTCTTAATCTTGGCAATATATAACTGTATGTATTTTGATGCATAAGTCACGAGTTGTAGAGAACAAGAAGCAGTGTAGTATAGTAACAAGGTTTGTATTTGACAACGACTGCATTGCTCAACACGTTTCTCTTATGAACTTTGTGATTTGTGCTGCAGATGGTCACTTGTAGTAGATCCTGCAAAGATAAAAGGGAAGAAACAAAAATCAGTACACTTTGCTGTTAAGGTTTGGATATGAAATGCCACAGGCTCATGTGCTGAGGGCTTGATTCTACTTGAGAGTAGAAACTTGAGGCAGTGGAGTTGTCCCAGTGGCTGTACTGTGCCCTGGGCCTCCACAGTCACCATGATGTGTTCTGCAGACCCACAGTGACAGAGCTGAGCACACGTGGACTGAAACCTCCGACACTATGAGGCCCCCTACTCCAATTCTTAGGTTGTTTCCTCGGGTATTTATCAAAGCAAAAGCAACAAAAATACCCCAAAAATGTGACCAACTCTGAAATGAACTGAATAAATTTAAAAACTCTTGTCCTGGCACAGGTAATATGCAAATATAAAATAATAAACCAGTAAGGTATGTCTGATGTAGGCTAAACTAGACTGATTTCCAAGAATCTAGAAATACTATTAAATACTCTAAAAGTAGGAATATCTTGTACAGACAGGGCAAAAGGGAGACTGTGAGTGAACACAGGAGAAAAGCTAAGTGTTATAGCTTCAGGTATCTGACACTAAACAAATTCACTTTACCTGATAACTGTAAAACACTAACTTCAGAGCCTAAACACTTCTCCATTTATGGAAACAGAAACAGAGGGATGGAGCAAAAAAAAGGGAGTGGAGGGAAAGAGGAAGGGAGGGAGAGATTAAGGAAAGTAGTAAGTTTTACAGAACATGGGAGCTTTGAAGATTAAGAAGATCCAAAGAGCAAAGTGACCTGTCTAAGCCTTACTGTACAGTTCCCATCCTTATGTACATTTCTGATGCCATGAAGAGGTATTTTAATTTCCATTTCAGAAGACTCGGAAACTGAGCTAATACAAAACATTATACTCTATTTACCTGGGAAGACATGTCTATATACACAGTCTATAGAGTTCAATGTTTTGTAGGCAGAGATGAAAAAAAAAATCAGTTGTTTTTTTCAGGAGCTATTAGGCACAGAGTAGTGCAGCTAATAGACGCTTCCTTATACAGCAGAGACTGCTTAATATGGAGACTCACAACTGGTCAATGTGTAAAGCATGGCCATGGATGCTCAGCCTTCAACGGGGTATCTGTCTCATCCCCTCAAGGCTCAGGGAACATGGAAGAAGACTGGCAAGCAGCAGAAGCTGGGGAGGACTGCTGGGACATAGTGTCTTCTGGACATGGCAGGGCCATTACTCAGGAACTCAAGAGCAGCTGTGTTTGTCTGCATGAGATCAAGTCATCAACACTCCAGGATGGATGGAGGAGGGGGCTCACAAAATCCCCTAACCCCTAGTAGAGGAGTTACTGGCAGCTCATGGCTACTGGGGCAGAGGGAGTTTTCTTCAGAGATGTGGGCCCGGATATGTTGCCCATGCTCCAGTGGCTGGCCCTACACCTATGCTACGCACACGCAGGCAGCAGTAACTGGATTCAGTGGGTTAAAAGAACACTGTGTTGGAAGGAGATGTGGTTGGAGGTGGTCTGGGAGGAGTTAGAGGGAAGACTTGGGGAGTGGGCATGACCAAAATACATGCAAAATTCTCAAATAACAAATTAAAAATGCTTTTCTGAAAAAAAGCTATTAAGAGAAGCGAGGAGTGATTTTTCCTTTACTCTTTATCATTGTGTTGAGTTGGGTAAAAACATTTCAGCAGCAAATGAGGAGTGTTCCTAACTTGTCACCACACACTAAGAGCTGACAGCAAAGTGAAAGTCTGAATGAAGCAGATGAGAAGACATTTGAGTACTTGGCAAGTGGGGGTGGGAAACAAACACCTCAGGGCAATTAGGAGACAGAATGTTTGTGGGTGATCTACCACTGGAGTATACCCCAGTCCATATTTTTGATCAATTAAAAATAGATAATAGGAAGAGAAAGACTTAATCACTAGGATGAAGTCTGTTCAAGCAAAATATTGTAATCTGACACTATAATGAGACAACTTACTATCTATCTCATATCACTGAATTATTATTTCACAGTATGCATGCAAATATAACAACTATTTATACCAGTTTAGGCTCCACAAACAAACTACACTGCCAAAACAAAACAAAACAAAAAACCCCTCACCTTATGAGAATAAAGCAAGTAGTGACTATATGCTCCATCCATAGTGGGGTAGAACTACCACTGCATTTTAAGACAGGCCTTGCTCTGTAGGCCAGGTTGGCCTAAACTCACAGCAATCCTTGAGCCAAGATTAGTCCTGGACTACAGATGTATACTACCACACCTGGCTCACCTTTGTTAAACACAGAATAGCTGAACAAAAATAGGGGCTGGGGTATACAAATCAGTGGTAGATATATACAAGGCCCTGGGTTTGATCCTGTACCTCAAAATCAAATGAAAGAAAATATATTTCCTAAGAGTACTAACTGTTAGGCTTCAGAAAGTAAAACTTAAAAAACGAAGGAAAAGTTGGACATGATGGTGGGTACCTGTAGCCCCAGCACTTGGAGCTGAGGGAGGTGGAATGAAGTTCTCGTAGGCTACACAGCTTGGCTTTATCTCAATTTAAATTTAAAAAAAAAAAAAAAAAAGGAAAGAAAGAAAAAGGAAATAAAAATTCAAAATAACTGTCAATGCAGTAAAGAAATGTCATGGTGGTTAGTGTTTTTCATACCAGTTCTTGGGAGGCTGAGACAGGAGGACTGCTGTGATTTCAAGGCTAGCCTGTGTTATGGTATAAGACCATCTCACCAGAACCAAAACCCCACATAAAACAAAACAAACTGTTTTCTTTACGTTTAATAACATGTGTGAAGCCCTGGTTTAATCTTCAACTGTAAAAACAAACAACAAAAAAACAGGTAAAAAGTTTTAAGCTTTAATTTATATTTTCTTGTTAAATAAAATATGACTTCATACAATCAAACCAAATATCCTTACTCAAAGCCAAGTAAAGGATGAGAAAAAATAATAACAACAATCCACTATATAGCATAAGGTCTTAATAGTTTTATCCATAAAATGTATTTTGAAATTGGTCACAGGATTGAAATTGTAGAAACACTGACACAATAAAGTAAATCGGCAGAATGTCCTGAGGGATTTTCCAGCAGTTTTAAGCATAATGAAGCACACTATCTTAGGCACAGAGAAGCACAGTCCCAGTGACACGGTTAAGGCATCTGACCTTGATTTGACTCTTCAATATTCATGCTGTCTCCATCTGCAGTCTCTGACATTTCTTCATCTTCGTCATCATCATGTAGGTCTTTTGAAATTAACTGTCTGGCTAACTTAATATTCAGTCCTTCGTTGTAATGAAGCTTCCTTTTCATTTCAAACTGCCGCTTCTTTTCTATAAAAGATTTAAAAGCTTAGAAAGTCTCGACTAGGGGATTGATGCCGGCTTGTTCTGTGCATGAGATCTGCTGTATTACAGTTACACTCATTTAAATGTTTCTATCAGCTGATGACTGGTTTTGTGTGCAATGGCAATCAAATAGTTTGTAATAAGACCATACAGCCTGCAAAATTTAAAATATTTACCTTATAAAAATCTTGCTAGTTTTCTGCTTTATTTAAATGACTCAAATATGCACCTCAGTCAATGAATGAGACTAGACAAAACCATTAGAAGTTTTGGGAGGAAAATTTAAAGACAGAAGAAAACTGTCTAATAATAGTTAAGTGGGAAGCAAAAGGTAAATTATAGTTGTATGTATGAAGAATGCACAAAGCCTGTAGACAGACACAGACAGACAGACAGACAGACACACACACACACACAAATATGACAAGATCCAACAATTAGCAGTGGTTAATTCTGGGTCAAGAGCTATGAGTAATGTACTTTCATTTCCATGCACCATCTCCTGTACCCCCAGGGTTCTTTATGCAGCGAAGGATGACCTACATCTCCCAACGCTTTGGCCTCCCAAATGCTAATTAATACTACAGGAATGCACCAGGGCTGGCACATGGTGGAAGGGGTTGTCCTCTGTCCTCCCCTTGAGCACGCACACATTTGGGCACAGAATGAATAATGTGCAAACAAACTGAAGAAACAGGCGCATGCCATACTTCACTAAGAAAAAGTCCTCGTGATTAAAAAACTGCCATGACTTAGAAACATAATTAGTGGCAATTCAACACAACTGCTATATTTTACTAAAAGAACTTCATTGGGTAAAAAAAAAAAAAAAAATTAACAACAAAAAAAAAGAACTTCATTGGGAGAGATGGCTCAGCAGTAAAGGGCACTGGCTACTCTTCCAGAGGTCCTGAGTTCAATTCTCAGCAACCACATGGTGACTCATGATAAGGGGATCTGATGCCCTCTTCTGACTTGCAGATGTACATGCAGACAGAGCACTCATACATAAAAAAATACATAAATAAATTTAAATAAAGAGAAAGAACTTCCTTGAACTGTTCATGAAGAAATACAAAAGTGATTCTAAGTTTTGAACCCAAGCATCTACATAAAAAGCCAAACGCCCAGTATCAGACACATGCACTTACTTTGAAACATATAAAATGAAGGGGCTGGAGGGATGGCTGACTAGTTAAGAGCACTTGGCTGCCTCTTGCAGAGGATCTGGGTTCAGTTCCCAGCACCCACGATTGAGCCCACAACCATCAGTGACTTCACAGAGAAGCAGGAGTCTGATCCAGCACCACATACAGTAGGCATGGTGCTGCACATTTGTAATCTCAGCACTGGGAGGCTGTGATAGGCAGCGCCGTCATAGAGCTCAGCCTAATTAGTCTGTCCCAGTCCAGTAAGAAATCCTCTCAAAAAATAAGGTGGACAGCTCCTGAGGAGTGACAATCTACCTAGACACACAAAAATGTGCACACGACCTATGAAACCTTATTTCACAGAAAGCTGACATGATCATCCCAATCTCTCTCTTTTAAAAAACAGGTTTTACACATCCCAGGCTAGCCTCAAATATTCAAGGAAGAGAGAGATGACCTTGAGCTTCTGATCCTTTCTTCTTTCTATCTGCCTCATGCTGGGCTTACAGCATGGGCCACCAGGCCCACTTTAGGCAGTGCCATGGACTGAATCCAGGGCTTCTTGTATGGTAGGCAAGTAATATTGTAACAACTGAGTCATATTCCTAATCCCAAAATCCTCTCTTGATTATTAATATTCATTTTGCAATTAGACAACACTAATATGACATTATGCAAAAAATAAAAAAGCACAGTTAGGTTTTTATGAAACTCAGCAAGGCTATTTTCTTTCTATATCTACTTTTAAGAAGAATATCTTGATTATTTTAAATCATTAAAAGTATTTACTGACCAATTAGAATACACCATGAGAGCTAAGAGCTTTAAATACTTCATTTAATAGTCACCAACAGCTTAAAGTCTGTTTGAGATAGGGGTCTCACTAAACTTTCAGGTTGGTCCTAACTTGAGGGCTCAATAGCTCATCATGGCCCAGCCTCTTGAGTCATTAGTACCACAAGAGTGCATTGCCAAACGCAAAACTAAATCATTTTTATTTTATTCTCAATTTAGAAAATAAAATCTAGGCTCTGAGAAACTAGACAACTTAAACAAATATCCAACTTGGAACATAAACTTGTATTTCTTAGACTCCATAGCTAATAATTTTAATTACTGTGCTATACATTAAGATTTCCTAAGAATAGCTGGTAGTTGCACACATCTTTGATCCCAGCACTCAGGAGGCAGAGGTAGGTGATCTCTGTGAATTTAAGGCTAGCCTAGTCTACATAGTGAGTTCTAAGACAGCCAGAGCTACCTAGTAAGACCCAGTCTCCAACAAACAAACAAAACAACAATTAAAAAAAAAAAAAAAAAAGACTATCTACACTGGCTAAATAGCTCAGCAGCTGAAGGAGCTTGCTGACAAGCTTAACAACCAAGTTCAATCCCCAGATCCCACATGGTGGAGAGCTGACTCCTTATTAGCTATCCTCTGACCGCCTCATGTGCTCACACATACTTAAAAAATAAAAAATATGTTTAAAAAATAGTATTTATTGTGATCTATAAGCCTACTTCTGCAGAGACCCAGGCAGGGAATTACTGTAAATTCAAGGGCAGCTCAGGCTAGTGTGTGACCTTGTCTCAAAAAACAAAAAGATTCTCTGTAAATTCAAAATATTGTCCCAGACATGTCATTATTAAAGGTAATAACATCTATACAATTTAGTAATTCTACCAGTAGGAAATCACTTAATAAAATTATATTAATAGGTCAAAAGGTACCCCTGCAGGTTGACTCGTGGAACTCCAAACTGATGGATAATTACCCTTAATGAGAACTAATAAGTAGGTCAATAAAATCCCCACCCTTAATAGATAAAAGTTTGGGGAGAATAATGTGGAAAATACTAGAAACAACTTTTATTGGACACCCCCTTAAAGGGTCCCTGTGCTGCCAGGTTCTCGTTAATGCTGATAATGGACTTGGGCTGAGAATCTGCCAAACAAGCTTCAGTAGTGCTACCCAAGTGTTCTATCACTGAGCTACAAGCTTTTGATTATTTTCTTTTAAAAAAGAACAGGACAACTATGTATAAGCCATCCCTCAGTACTTGAGGGATTGGCTCCGGGACACCTACGGGCACCAGAATATGGATGTTCAAATCCTTCATGTACATCGCTGCAGTATGTGCAAATAACCTACACACAGGTATGTTCAGTCATTTCTAGGTTAAATGCTATGTAAATAGTTGCTATGGTATACTGTTAGGGAATAGGGAATAATGACAAGAAAAACATGTGTATCACTGACACATGAACTCATTTTTTTCCCCTCAATATTTCTAAATCATTGTTGCTTAAACCTACAGGTTCAATGCCTGCAGATACTAAAGATCAACGGGGCATTTTATATACTTTTAGATTTTTTAGTCAAGCAGTGGTGGCACACGCCTTTTATCCCAACACTCAGGATGCAAAGGCAGGTGGATGTCTGAGTTCTGGTCATAGAGTGACTTCACACACAAGCCTGTGCAAATGCCTGAGGCTAGTGATACCAGTAGCTGTGACCCATATGACACGGATTGTGGTGTCTGAACTCAGGTCCTCCAGAAAGGGCTCTGACCTAATTTTATCTTGAAAAGATAATACATTCTCATAGCTCAAAAAGTGTAAAAAACAGCAAGATAAAACAGTCCTAGCCGGGCAGTGGTGGCACACGCCTTTAATCCCAGCACTTGGGAGGCAGAGGCAGGTGGATTTCTGAGTTCGAGGCCAGCCTGGTCTAAAGAGTGAGTTCCAGGACAGCCAGGGCTATACAGAGAAACCCTGTCTCAGAAAAAAAAAAAAAAAAAAAAAAAAAAAACATAGTCCTGTATGACCATCGTTCCATGTAAACAAAAATATGCATAAGCAGTAACGCCTCAACTATGCATGTTCTGTCTGTCTGGACCATGAGAGGCTCTTTCATCCTGCAAGGAGAACTTCTCTAGCTTTTCTTCTAAGACTGTTCCCAAGACCTATAAATCCTTTTATATAGAAGTAAAATAAGAAAAGCCATAGCGTTTCTGGTTTTGTTCTAAGATTGTAAGAATGATCTTGGGATGTTTAGCAAATGCTACTGTGGCTAAGAGTTTGATATAATGAAACATCTAACAGGTCAAACTTGCACTTAGAGCTTAAGGTATTATTGGGTCATTTTGTATGAAGATTCAGTTTTATCAGGTTTCTAAGTGAGAGATCTGAGTTAACATACTGAAAAGCTCAACTTACAAGATTTAGGCTAATTTTTGAGGTTGAATATTCAATTGCAGAATAAGGGCTTACACTGTCACCCATAGTTCTGAATGTTGCATGTGAGTTCAATAAAGTTATTATAATGGTCACTCCATTTATAAGAGACAGGTATAATCATTCTATATTTTATCATCTTGTTTCACTGGATAAATTTCACTGTTTTGTTTTGCTTTGCTCGACACAGGGTCTCAAGTAGCTTGAAATAACATTATACTACATACACAAGAATGAGGGTGAACTTCTGATCTTCCTGCTTCCACCTCTCTAGGTTGAGATTATAGACAACACAGTTTATTTGATGCTGGGGCTCAAATTCAGGGCTCTGCGCACTAGGTAAGCACTTTCCCTACTGCACTACAACCCCAGCCCTGCATCACTACTGTAACACAGGACAGGCACAACAACAAGGCTCTACCCACCTGAAGAGCATTCCAATTCTAAATGATACTAAAAGCATTCATTTCATAAGTAGTTATCAAATATCTACTTTTTATCAGTCACTAAAAAAATACAAAGAAAGGAATATTTGAAAATACTTGGAAGACGGAAATATTTCTTCCAACTGAAGTTCTTCGAATCAGGGGGGGAAATACTATTATATAAGAAACTCACATATGTAGAATCTGTTTTCTATTGCTTCCTACTTTCCTGCCCACTACTTCCCCAATACGAAAGTAAGTTTTCAATCTTCTAAATAAAAATGACTAGCATCATACTAAAAGCAGCTGAATGAGTAACCTACCTCGCTCTTCAGGGGAGAGGTCATTATCTTCCTCTCCACTGCTTTCTTGTTCTCGAGTCCGATACTTTGGCTCTGAGCCTTCAGCAGCAGCTAATCTACATAATAATATTTAGGAAGACATTAGTAACTGAGATACTTGTACTATTTAAATGACTCATTCAACTTGAGCATTGATAATATCCCCAATGATCAATAAACAGACTAGCTCTAACTGATGAAGACAACGTAAGGAAAAGTAGGAAGGGATGCAGAGACAGTAAACAGCAAGGAGAGCAGAGTGGGTGTGAGAAATCAATCAATAGCAGTAACTTATATCTGCCGTTCTCACACCTTTACCATGTAAGTAATAGGATATTTACAAATAGCACCATCACACAGAGAAAAATAGATTCAAGTTTTCAGGTATTCTTAACCTTCCCACTTCCTGTGTGGATTAATATTAACTGCAAACTGTAATAACATAAAAAAAAATCTAGTTAAGGGCTGGGGAGCTTATTCAGTGGTAGAGCAAGTATTTAACATGTAGTCAGTAAACCCCCAAACCAATGTACACGTCGCACACTATCAAATGTCTTGACTTTGTACAACTAAAACTCCCTATGGGAAGTGCATACTTACTTCTTAGCTAAGATGTCTGGAGTCATGACTTCACTGCCTTCTGAGTCACTATAGGCATCTTCATCATCACCTATCATACTAGGACGACAAGCATTCTCTATTAACACGCACATTATTAAAACAGACACATGAAATAAAACTGAATAGCTAGAAAATCAAGATTGAAAACACAATGTATTATTTAATTAAAATTACAATTTATTTAGAGGTTTGTTATCATCTTTGAAATTTAACTTTAAAAGTTTCTATTCAATCCGTGTAGTTAGAGACATACAGTCCATGTCAAACATGCATAAGGTCCTAGAGTTCAATCCTCAGCATTAAAAAAAAGGAAGTTTAACAAGAGGGGGTAAAAGACAAAAAGGCAGGCAATCACAAAGCACTGAAAACTCAAATTATAACGAGAAAAATAAACTAAAAACGTAAATTTTTGTATCCAATGAGACAGATGGACAAATAATGCAAAATAACCCATTTGTTGGTCTTAGTATTATTTTTCAAGGGAACTGTCTTGCTATGTACCCAGCTGGCCTCAACTTTGTGATTACTGAAATTACAATTCGGCACTGAAAATGCTGAGCTGGTTTTAGAATTGGTGTTTATGTATCACCATAAAGAAAGAAATGGTCTACATGGACATAGACTAGGAAAAAAGAACTTAGATCCTGTGGTGGTGAATTCTGACCGCCAACTTCACTGGATTAAGAAACGCACAGAAACAGAGCCAAGTGACCTCTCCTTTGTGGAACTCCCCCCAAGGGCTTCCTGAAGATGCAGGATTAATCCCTAACCACAGTGACAGGATCAGCAGTGCTCACTGCAAGCTCACTTCTCTCTCCTACTCTTGAGATTTCTGGTGGGCTCATATATAGTTTTTCATATCCCTCTGATTATCTCACTGAACAGCTGATTGACGAATCTATGGGAGAAAAGAAGTAGTAGTAAAGCACAGTATTAGGTGTGTTATCTGTGATCACACCCCCAGAGTATCAGATCATGAAGGCTCTGATCAAATCAACAGATTTATCCCTTGCAGGCTTAAGGATGGCATTACTAGAAATTTGTGCAAGGAAGGAGGTAGAACCTAGTTGGAGGAAAAAGGTCACTGGACTCTACTGATTTGGTTTTTTGTTTTTGTTTTTAAAGAAAAAAAAAAAGCAAATGCAATTGATGAGTGGGAAGGTGGGAGGATCTGGGAGAAACTAAGGGAAAGACCATGAATTTTTTGACTTTTAAAAAAAGATTTATTTATTTTTTAAGTATATGAGTACACTGTAGCTGTCTTCAGACACACCAGAAGAGGGCATCAGATCCTGTTACAGATGACTGTGAGCCACCATGTGGTTGCTGGGAATTGAACTCAGGACTTCTGGAAGAGAAGTCAGTGCTCTTACCATTAAGCTAACTCTCCAGTCCATTTTGACTTTTGTAGTAATGTTCAACAGAAAATTCTAGGTTACAAATGAACTGTGTGTATATACAAAAGAATATAAACTAATATGTACAATAACAATGAGACTCTTAGTTTAACATGATCTTTTAAAAAAAAAAGCATTTTTGTCATTGTTAAATGTTTTAAAAGAAACAAAATAAACCAATCTAATGCAAGCTATGATAAAAACCGATTTTCTTTGAAAAGAAAATCCTAACTTTGGATTCTGGTTTGATAAAGGGTTTGAGATGTATTTCAATTACCATGTAATTAATAGGAAAAAGGGCACAAACACTTAGTCCTTTCCTCAAATTTCATTACTATTTAGCTTCACTCTCTGTATCTTCTGTCACACTATTTCCTTTGCCAAGGACTTTAACATTTTTATGTGTATTTGTATTTTTTTATTAGCATCACATTATCCCATTAATTTAAAAGATAGCCTCTTTTTGTTGCTATAACTCACACCTGACATTCACAAGGCCTCCGGTAACACATCAACTGGGCATGGTCCTGTAATTCCAGGACTACAGATGTAGGCAGGAAGATAAGAAAATCAAAAGCATCCTCAGCTATATAGCAAATTCAAGTATAGCCACGGTTTCATGAAATCTTGTCAACAAAATTATAAAAAAAATAAAAGCACGTGATTTACAGATTTAGCCATACTCTCCGTTAAGTGTTCTACCTATTTAGAATCTGTACTGTCTCATAATGTTTATTCATGCATTATTTTTGTCTCTTTTTGGTTACTGCTTTACAGTATTACTTCAAGATTATTTTTAAAATTCTAACTGGACACAGTGGCTTATGCCAGAGGACTACTCAGACTTCAAGGTCAGCTTGACCTATATGGTAAATTCTAGGCCAGCCCAAAATATGTGTTAACACATCTTAAATTAAAAAAGAAAAATTCTGAGACCTAACATTTCCAAAATTACAAATCAGAACTACAGCATCATATAAAATAAGAACACAAAACTTCTTCTGTACTTCCTCTATATAGCCCCCCCCCCCACTTTTTAAACAAAGAAAGGCTTTGCTTTATACTTGGGGAACTAAAAACCTCATCTTCCTTTCAAAAAGATAAAACTTGGAGCTGGAAAGATGGTTCAGCAAGTCAAAAGCACTCGCTGCTCGCCAGGGCCCGAGACTGGTCAGCACTCAACCAAGCGGCTCACACCATCTCTACTCCCGCTCCAAGCGATCTGACTTTGGCTTGTAGCCTCCTCACGCACCTTCACACATATACACATAACAGCAATGAAGATAAAAGGGGGAATTAGGGTGTATCAGCAGCTAACAGCCATCTAGGTGCAATAAATATTCACTATAGCAATAACGGGAAGTTACACAGTATTAGCAAAAATGTATTCAGGTAAACCATTAACTAGTACTCTGGTAAGAAAAGTAAGACATATTTAAAGTATCTGTTACTTAGAAAATTGTATCATTATGATGCAAATGGAAACAAGCCACAAAAGAAAGGATGTCTATGTCACATTACTTGTGATATGGAGTGTTTGGCTCATCTATTTTCATCAACCCATAGTCTTTGTCAGCTGGATGATATGTTGCCAGGATGTTCATTTCATCCCACTTCTGAGACTTTTTACTGAAATTAAAAAGAAAGAAAAAGCATTTAGTATCCATATTAAAAACAAAGTTTCATACTTTATATCAGACACTCCAAACACTAATATGCTATGACATACTTAAGACTTTAACTGGCCTACAAAAGTAAAAAGTAACAATTGAAATAAAAGTCTATCTTACTGTCCTACCTTAATAAAGTTATGTGCTTGTTCAAACATAGGTTCGTGGACACACAGACACACACAGACACACAGACACAGACACAGACACACATACACACACACACACACACACACACACACAGAGTCTCATTATGTAGGAGTGGCTGACCCAGAACTTGTTATGTAGAATAGCAATCTGGCCTTCAACTCAGAGAGCTGTCTGCCTCTGCTAAGCAACAGGTTGTATGACACCATACCCTCTATGAAATTTTCCTTAATAAATAAAGGAAATTTATTAAGTTCAGATACTGCTAAGATCACAAAAATTATACTTTGGTTGTTCTGTTTTATTTTTAAAATTGTTTTGAGACAGTGTTTCTCTGTGTAGCCTTGGCTGTCCTGAAACTCAGGAGGCCTGCCTCTGCCTCCTGAGTGCTTGAATTAAAGGTGTGCCATCACACTGGCTTATAGCTTGTTTTTTAATCTAGAAAATATGTTTGCTAAGAAATAGTATATTCAGGTTTACTTAAATGGAAATAGACATGACTTGGGAATATCTGTTACTATCCACTGAATAAAGTCATGCAACTCGAGGGACCCGTTTTCAGAATCTTTACAGTATTTCCACTCAACACTTATTTACAAAAGACCCACGTCTCCCTTCACCCCAGGCCTTCTTTTTCTATGAGTACTACTCTGGGTACTTCATTCAAATGGAATCATATAGTGTTTATCTTGGCTTACTTCACTTAAGACACTGTCTTAAAGGTTTGTCCAGGTTGTAGCATGTGTCAAAATCTCTTTTTCTAAGGCCAGTTAACAGTTCAGCTAACTGAGCATTTTGAATGCAATTTTTCAGTCTCACCCTTAATTTCTTCAAAGGTAAAAACTGGCACAGATATCACAAGTAAGCTTGAAACTACAGCTCAAAATCTCTTCACCTAGGAAAATCTTACAAGCTTGTAATAAGCCAAAAATCTGTGACACATGAGCCATTATCTTTAGGCATAGAAAAACATTTCAAATGTTTTGTTATTACAAATCCAGCTCATATGGAGGTTCATCTGAATTTTCAGCCAACCAAATTAAAATGGCACTAATACTCATTTAATTGGGTTAGAATTGAGTTAGACTGGGTACAAAGAACTTGATTTAACAGTACTTATTTCCTCAGACTTACGGCCTTCTATCACATTATTTTATTTTTTGGTTTTTCTGTGTAACAGCCCTGTGTTCTGGAACTTACTCTGTAGACTAGGCTAGCCTCAAACTTAAGAGATCCACCTGCCTCTCCCTCCTGAGTGCTGGGATTACAGGCGTGTGCCACACTACATTAATAGTAACCTCGGGACAAGAGATTTCAGTTTGTTAGTCCTACAATGATTACGATTATTCAACAGCCTCAGTAACAGTCCTTACAGAGTTGTTGAGAGTCAACTGAAATGATGTCCATGAAACAAGTTACAAAACAGCATGCAAATATAAACAATGTTTATGATGGGGAACAGGGCTCAAGAGATAGCTCTGTAACGTGAAGAGATGGCACTTGTTCTTGTGAAGGATGACCCACATTCAGTTCCCACCACCCACACGGTGGCTCACAACCATCTATAACTCCAGCTCAGAAGGTTCAATGTGGTCTTCTGGCCTCCAAGAACACTGTATGCACGCATGCATGCATGCATGCGCACAGAAAATAAATGTTTAAGACTTTAAAATCTAAAATCTTGGGTTAAAAGTTCTAAAACAAGATTTCACTTAGCATAGTAGAGAATTGAGTTTAGAAAATAAGTTTCAAGTGCTTTTGTGTTGGAGCCAAGCTTTAATCCCAATACTTTGCAGGCAGAGGCTGGCATATCTTTTATTATTATTACTTTATTATTACTGTGTGTAGATATAATGAGGGGTTATATGTGGGGTCAGAGGGCAAGCTGAAGAAGTCATTTCTCTCATTCCATCTGGGATCAAAGGATAGAACTGCTTTCACTCTCCAGTTTAAGAACAAATATTTTTAATACATAATTAAATCAACTTTCTATTTCTACCTAAATCTACATTCTCAGGCATTTTGTTTTGCTAAATAGCTAGACACTTTCTGTTTAGAAATCATTAGCTACTATTTGCTTAGAAAGCAAATAATTCATTCTGCTTATGGACAAATTCCAAAGAAGCTCACAGTAAAGACTAAGAGAGATGGCTCAGGGGTTAAGAGGCTGCTCTTCCAGAGGACCCAGGTTCTATTCCTAGCACTCACACGGCAGCTCACACCTGAAACTCCAGGTTTAGGTAATCCAAGCCCTTCTTCTGGCCTCCAGACACCAGGCACACATGTGGTACACAGATATTCATGCAGGGAAAACATTCATACATTTGAAAAATGAAAATTTTAAAAAATCTAAAATAATTTTAATTAAAAAAAATTAAAGCAGAAAAACAATCAAGTACTACTAATAAAAAAATAATACAATTTGCTTTTAGAGCAAGCTCCAGGGATCCTTCCTGTCTCCATCTCAACACTATCACTATAGGCACATACCCCTATGCCTTTTTACAGGGGTTCTGGGAGCAAAGGAGATGGCTCAGTATCTAAAGCACTACCTCTGTTAAGTCTAGCTACCTGAATTCAATGCCTAGAACTCATTTAAAAAGAAGCAGTCACAGGTATCCATAATCCCAGCATTTCATTGACAGATGGAGATAGGAGAATCTTCTGGAAGCTAGTAGAAACAAGAGCAACTGACTCTACACTTCAAAAAGGTCAAAGATAAGAATGAACTCCTGAAAATGGGAGATCGGCAGGTGCATGCTCCAGTGTGGGCATGTGTTCCTCCCCGACTCCCCAAAACTTAGGTGGATATTTGGAGTTTAATGGGTAAATCTAATATGAGGGAAGAAAAATCAACTCTCGGAAAATTTGTTTTGTAAGATAATGACAGAAAGAAAAATGTAGAACACAAACAGAAATTACATTTTCTTTTTCTACTTAAAAAATTTTAAGTGATTTCTTTATTTCATTTTTCATTTGGTTTTTTTTTTTTTTTTTTTTTTGCCTGTATATATTCCATGTATGTATGTGTGAGGGTGTGTAGGATCCCCTGGAACTGGAATTACAGTCTTGAACTGCTATATGCATGCTAGGAAGTGAACCCAAGCCCTTTGGAATAGCAGCAGCCAGTGCTCTTAACCACTGAGCTATCTCTCTAGCTCCAAACTACATTTTTAAATTTAAGAATACAATTTAGTAAGTATAATCCTAGTACCCTAAACCACTAATAATTTGTATTTTTTTTGCATTTTCTTTCTACTCTATCTTAAATGATATAATATATAAATTTAAAATAGTATTATATATATTTAAAAGCACATTTATACTGATATAAGATATCTATACTGTATCAATTTAAGGTACTTTTGTCTTCTTAATAACTGGATATGATAGAAGTTAGCTAACATCTAACATAACATTAGCATCCCTAACATTTTAAGTAATTAATGTTAGTGGCAGAGTAACAAAACCCAAGGAGCAAACCTGAATTCAATTAAAATATCACCATGAACTACATGACACTTTCTGGGTCACAAATTCCACAGACAAAAACAAGGGTACCAGGAAATGACAGATCTGCTGTGATAGCCAACACACTTGCTAATTTCAGTTTCACTCTCCCTCTTGGGTGACTGTTTTGCAGACTGTTTAAAGCTTGTCCTGTATAGTCACTTTTTTGGTTCCAATGTTGCCATCTCAAGAACCTCCCAGAACTCCTTGCTGCTTCTCCTAGCATGTTTGATACTTTTGGCTGTGCTCAGAGTGGCCAGCTGAGTTTTGCTTCAAAGTATTAAACTTTCATACTTCAATAAACATTTGTCTTTTTAAATAAAGATTCAAGACTTTGAAGTCTGAAACCACAATTAAAATTAAACCAAGACTTAACAATAAAGCAAACAAATGGTAACTTTTAGAAAATAATCTTTCTATTTTGATTAGCTTTGACTTTTAATACTCCACATTCTTGAGTAGACAGAAAGACAATGTTAGAGTGTAATTATCTCTTAAATTATATCAGTGGAATTCAAGCACCTTGGTGTGTGTGTGTGTGTGTGTGTGTGTATTTGTGTGTATTTGTGTGTTTTCAAATTTTTATTACAAGACAGTTAAGAATAGGGTACTGGGCTCAGTATTTTGACTCATTTTAGACTTATACTTAGGTACAGATAAATAAATAAATCATTGGCAGCCAGATCTAATAAAATCAGTAAGTAGCACAGATAGGATTCATATTAAGCACTAAACTACAACTTCTCTTATGACAGGATTTAATAACATTTAACATATTTCTGATAACTGCAAACAAACATTTTTACTCCAAATCTAAAAAAATATATCCTAAAATATATATATATGTATATCTTAAAATGGATACCATCTTACAATCAGCAATTTTTTCTTTTTCTGGTGATAGTATCCTAGAACCTTAGAATCAAAGGGCGATGTTTTTTTAATAAAGGGCACATATATTTACTCTGGATGCTAGGTTAGGACTTCATAAGATGTGTATTTCACTGGAGGTACCCTGAAACAACTATGGGAAATCCACAATCATAGGAGAGAACAATGGTTTTTGAAACAGTTGAGCCATGCTGTAATGTGTAACTTGCCCAAATATGGGTTTGCAGAACCTCTCTCTCTCTCGCTCTCTCTCTTTTTTTTTTTTTTGGTCCAAGACTGGGTAGCTCTGGCTGTCCTGGAATTCCCTCTGCAAACTAGGCTGGCCTCGAACTCATAAATATCTACCTGCCTCTGCCTCTTGAGAACTGGGGTTAAAGGCGTGCACCACTACACCTGGCTTGAGTCTGTTTTTAATTAACTCGCTAAAACTAATACCTGACAAATGTCATCTGAGAAAACTACTCAGTGGAACTCATAGTATTAATTCAATGAGGAGAAGAAACTAAGAGCATATGTCAGAGATCTGTTGGCACATGCCTCTTGTCCTTTATCTCCAGAGGCTAGGGCAGGGGAACTAAGGCTAGTTTGGGTATAGTAAATTGGTTTTTTTATGCAATAAATCACTAAAAAACAAATCTCCAAATAATAATTCGCTCAGTCTTGAAAAGAAATGAATAAAAATAATCAAAATGCTCAAAGGCTATTAGAAATAACTTAAAATTTACAAACCTCACTTTACCTATATATTGTTTTAAAAACAAACAGCCTCTGTACCTGTGTATGAGGGTAGGGGGGAATAACAACCCTGGGTGAGGTCCTTGCCTTCCTTGAGACTGCATCCCTATCTTTTTCCAGAGTATGCCAGGCTAGCTCAAGTTCAAGCTTCTGGGGATTTAAGAATTCTCCTGTCTCTGCCTCCCGTCTCCCTGTATAACCTCGGGATTATAGACGTGCATGCTATCCTCTGGTTATACATGGGTTCTGCATTCAAACCTAGGTCCTCACACATGCCTAGCAAGTGCTTTATCACTGAGCCATCTTCCTCAATCCCTATGTTCAGTTTTAAGTACTACAACCAATAGAGTATGCATGAAAGTGTGAATTATGAAGACATACTTGACGTGTTTCAATTTTTCCTTAAGAGTTCTCTGCAATTAATTGCTATAGATAATAGCCTCCAGTAAGTGCAGGCAGGTGAGAGGGATAATGATGAAGTAATTGTATTTTACATTATAAAGCCAGGTAAGTTACATTTTACCTTATTTGCAGGTTCTCTATTTGGGAATTTCCTTACTGGAATCCTTCTATAATCTAAACACCAATATTGAAGGTAGTTTAGTGGATGCTCAAAGACATCAGCAGGGAAGGAGAATTAACTGTCCACAGGGAACATGTTTAGCTCTCTCACTATGGACATGGTCTTTGATTTTCTATTATAACTACTACCATACACTCTGGAACTCCTTGAACAAAAGGATGAGTTCCACTGACCTTTTGATATATGTCTATCACATACTTTATACAAGTGTGTGTCTTCCTTTCCCTTCCCTTTGCATGTTGGGGATCAAATCCAGGGACTTAAATATGCAACTACATGTATACAGTAATGTAGTTTTATTGCTGTAATCTTTTTACAGCATTTGATTATGAAACCATAGGCGTATCTTTTACCAGCTGGAACCACATATACATCATGAACTTCAATGAGTTAGTTTGGTAGTGCCTGCTCAACTAGGGCTGCTACAGTCAAGGCAGTCAGTCAACTAGCTTATAAAACCCTTTTTAAGTGAACCTGCCCTGCCAGGAACTCTTTCAGAAAAAGCAATTTAACTAACGGAGTCAATCTTATTTAGTGGCATTGGGAGGAGGAGGTTGGGGGGGGAAGACCTGCACGTAAATCTTGGGCAAGCATGGGAGTTGAAGGAGGCTAACCTATAGTACTGTGCTCTAGATTACAGGGCAGCAAATCTGAGAATGTGTGGAAGTTAAGGGCACAGAAAAAGGAGACATTTGGTAGTTGGAAAAAAGGTCACTGGGATAATGTCAGTGAAAGCCCATTTCTGCTGCTTAATATCCAAGCTGTGTCGTGCCTTCTGAACTTATCTTTTAATCATCTTGATCTTGCTATTGTGTTGTGGCACTCTGTTTCCCATGACCCACAATCTGTCAAATGGCTTTAAAGCAGCTTACTCCAAGTACAGGATGGAAAACTGTGAAGGAAGGCAGGAGTCAAACTCAAAGCATGGGGTGGGGTGGTTGTTGTCTCTGCGGGACACAATCTAAGTTGAACCCACAAAAGAGACTTTCTCCAAATTTCCTATAAACTTGTCTCTAGCTACTCTTACAATTCCAAATTAGATCCGTGATATAGGAGTGTCCTGGTTCTAATAGTCTAGGATTTCACAGCATTCTCATTTTAGAGCTGCTACTACAAATTTCAGTAACCTTTCTTAAGCCTTATTTCTGAATGCAAGAGTTCCTATTATATTTTTAGTAACTCATACTATTCAAGGCCCCTTTGCTGTCTGACCCACTGGTATAGTTATACCTCAGACGCTGTACTGTCACATTATTTTCATTGAGCACTGAACTCTGGGTAGTTTTCTCTGTAGCCAGAACACCTCTCCTGTTTTTCAGCCTAGTATACTGTTCCATTATACAAATGTACCATAATTAATATTTCACCAGTTCTCACTAATGGACCTTGGGCAGTTTCCAGGCATTTACTAATACACACAATACTTTCTGTCAATATCTCAAGTTGGTTCTCTCTGAAGTGTTGCGTTTAGATATGCAAAACAGGACCCCAAACTAGAAAGCACCCAAAACTCTAGCTGCAGGTACAAAAATACTTAGCAATAGTAACTTTCCATTAAATACAGATGAGTGATTTTTAAAATTTTGGTTTCATTTAGTGCAGGGATGATGACAGACCAGGTACTGAGAGACCAACGCGGTAAAGTGGTTATTGGAGAAATGTGTTTGTTTCTGGTTGGTTTTTACAAATTTTGATCTCATTAGCCTAAACCTAGATTTAAGGGCAAAAAAGAAACTCCTTTGCTGAAGAATTTTACCTACCTTGGCTTAGGCTAGGGGCATAATAAAAGCTTAACGTTAAAGGTTTAGAACTTCAATCTGATTTCTTGCGTTCTCAAGGACACGAAGTTCAAAAGCCAAGCTTAAAATGTGCACATGTACTTAAAAAATAAAACGCGACAAACGCCACCGCCTCTGGCGGCTCCGGTCCCGCTCCACCCCGCGGCCGGAGGGGCAGGGCTGAGGCCGGCTCCCCGCGGCTGCCAGTCCGCCAGGAAGGCGAGGCTTCCAGGCCGGCCTCCCGGCTCTCACCTCAGCTCCTCTTCGACGGTCCGGCGGGGCTGTTCGGCCGAGGCCACCACCGGGGAAGCCGCAGAGGTCTTGTTCTTCAGGATTCCCTTGATGGGTCGGTGCGAGGCCGTCGAGGCCGCCATTGCCGGTAGCTCCGGCTGCCGGCTCAGGGTCGCTGCTGGCGTGGGGTCCCGGAGGAGAAGGGGCGGGCGCTGCAGAGACCCTCCAGGCAGCCGTGGAGCCCAGGCCGGGCTAAAGCAGCCGCACCCGCTGTCGCGGAAACCACTACCGGCGTCTCCGTCACGACACAATGACCGCAACGCCACAGCCGACGCCGTGCGGCGGGCGGCCCTTCGCCGCCGGCAAAGTAGCCCGCGGCCCGCGGAGGAGGCCGGCCTAGTGCCCCAGCGCGGGAGCGACGCGGCCGCCAAAGCCAAGCCCGGCCAGCCCTCTCGCGATATCTAGGGCGGGGCGGGGCGAGAACAAAGCCGGCCTTCTTGCCCCGCCCCTTCCCGCCCGCCCCGCCCCGGCCAGCTCAGTCCTGGCCCAGCAAGTGTATAAAGCTTCCGCGAGAGACCCTGTCTCCAGTGCAGATTTATTCTGCCAAGCACTATGAGGTTTTGTCGGTATTTCTGTCTTACGACAGAAAACCGAGGCTCACAGACGACGCACCCCACAAAGATAAGGGATGTTAGCTGACTGAACGATATAGCTCCCATTTCTATTTAATCATTGTAATCACTTCTTTCTTTTTTCTTTCTTTTCTTATTTGAGACAAAGTCTTATCTATGCAGACCAAGCTAGTCTCGAACTCACAAAGATCTACCTACCTCTGCCTCCTGAGCGTTAGGATTAAAGGCCCGTGCCACCATACCCACTCCTTCCTAATTTAACTCCCTACTCTAAAACCATAGACTATAAGTATTGGAATGATCCTCAAAGATCTATGGTGAAACTGCAGAATAGTCATTTTATGATATCATAAAAAGCCTGCATTGGAATAATATAACTTCTTTATACCATTGGAGAAGCCGATGGGCAGAACTAACTGCCACTTCCACGCAGTCTGTCCGTAGTATATGAAAACCACTAGACAAAGGCAGTGGGGCACTGGTCCAGAATGGTGCCCCTACAAAGCAAGGATCAACAAGACATCAGAAGTCAGGGGAGCCATTTTCAACAGATTCAAATTCCCAGTGCTCTCAGAGAGAGCCCAGTACCCTGTACTTAATTAGGGAATTCAGGCCCCCAGTGCATTTCCTGTTGCTAAAAGTTTTTCAGGTGTGAAACTTCATTCCCACCCCCCTCAGTCTTTAACTCCATCACCAGCCAGCTATTTTCCACTACTCTCTCCTGATCAGACCTCTCAGAGTCCTATGACAGGCCAAATCAGACTAAGGCACGTGGAAATGTCACTGCCATCTGATTGACCACAGCCTTCTGGGACCTTAAACAGCTAGGTATCTGATAGGAAGATTGTCCTAGGGATACCCACCATACTATGCAATGTCTATCCGGCCACTAGAGATGCCACAATTTCCTCCTTCTCCTGGTTCTGACTCAGGAAGCTAGACAGAGATGATTCCCAGCAACTTCTGTTTGCTGGGGAGGGGAAGCCAAAGTTTGACTCTATTTTTAAGTAGTTATCTCACTCAAATGCGAGACTTCTACCTTTGTGCCTAGAAGACAATGCTGTTTGGTGTCTTTAGGACTCTGCTCCTGGGAACAGCGTAAGGTTTCCTGAAACTGTTCAGATTTTCCAGGCTGGCCCCTGGCTGAGTTCCTGCCAGAGGAAGGCCTCAGGAAGGCCAGCATCGCTGGTGGAGATAGTGGAGGGGAAGTGCACAGGAAGGTGAGGAGGGAAACAGCTTTGCTGCTCATATTGCTGAATGTGCTCTCCTGGGATTTCTGAGGCAAAGCTCTGAGAGCCGTCCTTGGCTTGAGGCCCACCTCTGTTCCCAGTCAGATGTTTCATCCTCCCTCCTTGGCTGCGACCTTCCAAGTAGATCCTGGTAGAGCCTGGCAGCCAGGTCTAAACCAGAAGCGGTTTTGAGCCCAGGGAAGCAACATGCTGCCTCTTCTCACTTTGCTTCTGTCAGAGCCTAGCTCAGCACTGATAATCTTGTTTTGAAGAGAAGACACAAGACTTTCCTTCATGGACATAATTATTGGGTCATTTGCTTTGTTCCTGCTTGGCCAAACTGAACTGTGACTGGGCTCATAATTGAGCATCACCCTTGCTTGGAGAAACTGAGCCCTCTAATGAACAGGGCGGCACAGCTTGCTTGACACAATGTGCTTTATTGCCGTAAGCTAAAAGACGCTGGGTTAGAAGGTGGGTTCTCTGAGGAGCCTTGGAAAATGTTTCCCTCGTCAAAGTTAGACTTTTGCTTCATTCTTTTCTATGCTTGATTCCATAAAAAGTGAATACAGAGGAAAATTCCTTAGACAGAAACCAGCACAAGTGTTTGGCTGCAAGCTTTTGAGTATCAGAACAGGTTTTCCTTATATTTTAGAACAACTCACTTTATACCTCGATGTAGCCAAAAGACCTGTAAATGCCTCCAGACCTAAGCCCTCTCCCCGGGGGTCCTTCTGTGAAGCTAGCCTGGAGATCACCTGGAGCAAACAGCCAAGCACTACCTTTGAGAGTGTCTGTGCTACATTTCCTGCTTGACTGCTGCGAGATGGAATCTTCCAGTTTGGATTCTGTTTCTGAAAGTAGTTTTTAAACTCAAGGCAAATCATCAGCATCATTTTAAAGGAATTGGGGCAGGTGAGATGCTTCAGCAGGCAAAGTGTCTGCTGTCAAAACTGACCTGAGGTGGATCCCTGGGACCCACACGGTAAAAGGAGAAAACCAACTCCCACAAGTTGTCCCCTGACCTATACACATATACATTTACACACACACACACACACACACACACACATGCAACAGGCGCGCACGCGCACTCACACGCACGCTAAAATGTAATTTAAAAATAGACATTGAACAAAATTGTCTGCCAGGACAGGACAATTATCTAAGGAATTGTCTCTTTAAGATTTATTTTTTATTTATTTAACATGTATGAGTGCTGTATTTGCAGGGGGATACCTTCAGACATCAGACCTCAGTATACATGGCTGTGAGCCACCATGTGGGTGCTGGGAATTGAACTTAGGACCTCTGGAAGAACAGGCAGTGCTCTTAAACACTGAGCCATCTCTCCGGCCCCCATTTTTGTTCTTGTTTGAATATTTTATGGTGATTGCCTGACCCAATGCAGCATATGGGAGGGGAGAAGGATGCTTTTAGTGCACCCTCAGCATGCGCCTTAGTTGGCTTTCTGCCCCTTGTATGGACTACTAAGGCCAATAGTGTTAGAGTTCCCATCCAGAGTGGAATTTTAAATTCTAAAGCTGGAAATGGCTTCAGAGGCTGGTTCCATCCTGCCAGGCAAAGTATCTAGTGCAGGTCTATGAGCGTGTCCCACCCCAACCTCTGGAAAATACCCAGAGGTTATGACTTAATGACCACTGAATCAGCAGTGGCTGCTTGCCAGGATTAGCAGAGTGTCCTTTTTCTTTTCAGGTAATTCCTCCCTGGGCAGGAAGATCACAGATTTTACAGGGGCAATATTATCTGATCAAAATACAAAAGTCTTAGAAAGGGAGACAGAGCCCCAAAGGGTGCCAAGAACAAAGATTAATTATTATCTGCTTGAAAAATAGCTTTGATGTGTGTCCCTGGAACTCTCTTCTGTTGCTCTTCAAAGACAGATAGGCAGAAGCTTGGGAGTGACCAGGACAGCTCCTCTGAGATAGAGCACAGGCCCTTCTCAGGACACAGAGCTTTCACTAGTATCTAGATGCTTTAAAAATGAGTTACACCCAAAGAATCTGGACAAGTAGTCCCTTTCAAAGCCTGTGAGACCAAAACTGGAAAGAGCCAGAATAAGCTGCTGCGATTTAGGGAGTGGTTAGCAAAAGATGTGAATTCATGCTTTAGCTAAATTCTGAGTTTATCTTGTGCTGGGTAGAAACCACTCCAGTGTGTTGTTTGTTTTGTGATTGAAAGTTTTCTACAATTGTTCACTGTAAAATTATTTGTTTGTAAATTATACAAAAGTCTTAGAAAGGGAGACAGAGAATTTGTAATTTATTGGTTTGTAAATTATTAAAGAAAATAAAAAGCAAACAAATATACTGTAATTTCGTTGTGTCAATTTAGCCAGATTAAATTGCAATTTATTATTCTATGAACTCATAATGGGATAAGGAGCAGACTTTGATTTCAAATACAGAGGCTGGGGTGCTGCTGGAGGGAGCACATGCTCTGATCACAGACCAGGTCCTAGGTTTCATCTCCAGCACCGTCCCCACCTACTCACACAAAAGTTACAAGACTAGTGAAGTGGCTCAGTGAGTTAAGGCACTTGCCACCAAGCCTGGCGACCAGAGTTGACTCCAGAGACCCACATGGAGAAAAGAGAGAATTGACTCCCGCTGGTTGTTCTCTGACCTCCACACACATGTATGGCATACATGTATGTGTGCACTAGAGCACATGTGTGCACACACAATAAGATGTAAATAAAATTAAATGGCAGCAAATCCCGGACTACATGTGATGGATGTGGGTCTAAATACTTCGTGGAGATACTAACTGTTTTGAAGCCTGTATAGATAGTCATTATTTATAGCAGGAAGTCTTTTCTACTGTGTTTGAGTTTGTCCTACTTGGAGATGTCTCATATATGGAATTTTATTCTTTTGTCCGACCATTTGTGGTGTCTGGACACTCTGCTTCTCTGTCCATTTGTCTTTATGCTACTCTCATACTTTCCAAGAAATTGGGTTGCAAAATGATTTCGATAGGTTAACGGCTTTGTCATGCACAGTCTTAAGATCAGGACAAACAGTGCCTCTCTCCTCTATTTGCTTAAGGAACCAAGCTTTTAAAGGCTACTCATCACATAGGCTAAAGTCAAGACTCCATAAGCCTTTGGAAATTGGCATCATCTGTTTCTCTAGATTCATTTCTTCTTCTCTTAAATGATAGTTTTATTAATTTTGAGAATATTACATAATGTGTTTTGATCGTAGCTATCCCTCCATCCCCCAACTCCTTCCAGATCCACCCTCAACTCCTACCCACCCAACTTCCTGTTTTTCTCTCCTTTGTTTTTAACCATCAAAGACTCCTTTTCATGTACACTTCCTTTCCCTATGTTCTTTGCACTAGTTACACTATCTTTTAAAAGGTGCCACTGTACCCCCAAAATAGAAGGCCTTCCATCAAATATAGAGCATATAATTATTTAAATAACACCTGATACAGCCAAAT